TAAATTAATATTATCGGCTACTACATAGAGTTTCAGCGTGATAAAATTAATTACGTACCATGACAATGTTCGGTTGTCGCCAATCAATTTTCGAGCCGTATTTTTAAAATTGAATGCTTTGAAAAACTTTAAATGTAATTAATTACTTGTAATACTTATATTATGCTATGTTTATGACATATTTGTGTTGGGACATAACTTGGCCGTCTCAAAAGGTACTCTTGGACGCAAATAGGCTATGATGTTTTATGAATCTTTTTTGGTGGGACGCAAATTACCAACTGATAATAATCTCGGACGCAAATAGTATGCACCGAGTGTACGTGTGGCGTCAATTCGGGTACCACTTCTTTCCGCACCATCATCCAGGTAGTCGTTCATTGTAATCCTTATTGCAGTATACCATGTTTGTTGAATTGTAGTTATCGAAAATTAGGTACCCATGTTTTGATATACAACAGTAATTATTAAAAAAAAAAAAAAAAAATAGCTGCAAATAGTTTGCAGTGCAAAGTAATTTGTATTATTATTTCTATTATTTTGGTTCATAGTGGTCTCTTATTCCCTTTATGAAACCTTTGTGTTTTTTTTTTCGATAAAGGAATTTTAGTTTTTATTTTATATTTGGAATTCATTTTTCTAATTACAATAACTAAATAGTCTTTATGGAAACAAACTGGGCTCGAATGGACCGGAACGCACCGGAACGCAGTTCCGGTTCACGAAAAATTTTTTTAACGTTTCAGTTCGTAAAAAAAATACGTTTATCATTCCGGTTCAAACAATTTATTAGTGTACCTACCATATTTTGGTAAAATTTAAACATTTTGCAGAATTTTTCATTGTAAAATATTTAATAAACGGCAAACGACCGCGATGAATAAGTACATTTATTGTTTATCTATAATACCGGGTTCACACTATTGCAATTTCTTGTATGCTTTTTCGCCCATGTTTATTTTTACTCGTACAAGAACAAAATTGAACAAGTGTGAACGTTTATAATACGTATGTAAGCTCTTGCATGCTCAAACTTGCATGCAGTCCAACACATCGGACAGAAGTTGAATGCAATTAGGTAATTTTAGGCCATTTTATTCCCGAACACGAACAGTGAACCACGTGATCAATGTGATTTCTTAATTCAAAACAAACTATTTGATGCGCCAACACTATTTCTTCTACTAATCCACTGTCGAACCCATAATTTTTTTTTTTAAAGCTTCTTACTTCTTTTCTAAGATTTCTTTTCAAAGCATATTGCAAACAATAATTACTCCTATTTTATTTGATCCATTCAACAGTCTCGTTAAAAATTTAAAAAAACAGCACTTTTACTCGCGATCAGATCACTTTTGAAACTAAACAATATTTAAATACATACAAAACTAAAAATATACAAGCATATATGTGAACAGAGCTTTTAAAAAACGTGTTACGGAATTCACGTGTATACGTGAAATACGTGTTTATCCAAATATATATCCATTTTTATAATGATGAAAATTAGAAATTTTGTATTATGCACTTGAAGTTTTAATAAAATATTATTAGTACAATATTAAGTTAAGGTTTTACGTGGTTATTTTGGATTTTACACGTAACACTAGACACGTAAATTCACGTGTATTAAAAGCTCTATATGTGAACATACACTTGCATATTATTATGCGTATTTTTGCATGATATATATTGTAAGCAAGTCTACAGTGCAAGAAATTGCAACAAGAAATTGTGGCAAAAGAGGTTTTAATATATAAATTTCATTGTAATATATTTTCTTTGTTGAATAAAGTGTATTAAATTATATTGTAATGTATTATATGCATATAGATACGACTTAAATGTTATAAGTTAAAAGTTATTAGTTATAAGTTCAGTTTAGTTAAGTTAATTAGTTTTATAAGTTATAGTTAATTTAACTTTATAAGTTAGCACATATTTATGTAATATTTAACATTTTTGTTCGATATTCGTATATATTATAGTTGTGCCGTAAAGCGCTCAAGTGGACAAAGACTTGATATTGTTGACAAAAACTTGATATTGTTGTTCTACAGTAAGTACTTATAATATATTGTAGCAGTGTTCATGTTCCACTGGAGTAAATTGTTATTGTTAAATGCACATTTTTCTTTTGCTTCACAACAATCACTTGACGTAGTTAATCCGAAAGTGTTTTATAAACATGAAAATATATAAAACTATTTCACACAACATGTTATAAGTGACATACTAATATATATTCGACTATATATGTTGACGATTATTGAATGAGGATGAAGATACACATATTATAACTGTGGCCTGTGGTTAGGTTTCGAAAATGATTTGGGTTGACTATTGCAAGTAAATGTATTATTAGTATTAAACAATCACGATAATATACAATATGTTAGGCGATTTTTTTTTATATTGGATGTAGGCAAAATCAGAGGTGGACATTAAGTGGTTAAAATTTTAAGAACTATCGAACCTGTTAACTTAAATATAACTTTTAATTATCTAATTGGCTTTATAACTTAATTGGTTTAATAATACAATAGAATAACTTTATATTTTCTAGTTAATTTGAAAAATAATATGTTAAATTATAGTTATATTTGCACTTGTACATGGGTATATACAATTAGAAACCTATTTAAAATCAAATAATTAAATAACTATCAGTAGTGTGTACAAAGAGGGAATATGATTCGTGTTCTACAAAATATTTCATGAGTATTGGAAAAATTGAAAGTTGCACAATTCGTACATATGTAACACATTCTAGTGGCAATATAAAAATATATTTTTAATGGAATTATGTACATTTGTTTTCTATATTAATTTTAAACTTATAAAAAGAAATATGTTGTTGTTTAATTATTGACGTATATCTCAAAGTTTTTTATGTTGACTTAACTTAACCAAATAAAGTTAATTGTTTTCATTAACTTGCCCATCCATTGGGCAATAATATTGGTTTTTTAATTTATCATTAGAATTAATTGATTAAATGGTTATGTGTAAATAGTACTGTCAGGCGAATGCTGCGAATCAGAACGCAATATATAATAATAATAATATATTTCCGGTTTTATCCAATTTTATAATCGAAGCACTTAAATGATACGTATAATTCATATTAATTTTGATTGCAGGACATTTCACCCAGCTTGTGTGGAAGGGAATCTATAGGTATAGCAATGGTGAAAGGCAAGTCAGGAAGAATTGTGATCGTTGCTAATTACAATCCACCTGGCAACATGATGGTCAGTTTATTGATAACGTTCTTAATCCTTGTTAAATTATTTATTTAATATTATGCTTCTTTCATTCCTATTGAAATTTAAATGTATACTAAATTTCTTTATAATTTATATATCATCTGCATATTACAAAAGTATTATTGTCTTCTTTAAAAATAAAACTTGTAATATCGATTATTGTTTTAATATAAAATCGATTGTTATACATCGTGTTTACGGGTAAATAAAAATATTCAAAATAATTTTATACCTATTACTTTTGCAAATTATTTTTTTTTTTAGTTAAAAATTAGAAAACAATTTTAATATATTTATATTGTTGGTAAATATAATAATTGAAGATTTGCTTTGCCGTAAATTTGTCGTATTTTTTATAGTTGTTGTTTTTGTTAAAATCATAATAAAAAGACTAAATTATAATTGATTGATTTATGTGATTTAGTTGCTAAATATTAATGTATCATAAATGCAAAACAAAAAATCTCTGCGTTCGTATATGTTTTATAAAAGTTTATACGAGTACAAGTAGATAATACTACGAGTGACGACTTACGAGTAATAGTTATTTTAATGATTCTAGTTTAAATAGGTTTGTTAACTTTTCATTTTTAAAAATACGTTATATTATTACCGTTTGATGTAAAAAATAATTTCTATTTTTTAAAGGTTGGTTCGTTTAAACGATTAGACATTTCTCGCATAGGCGTGTTTAAAGGAGGGAACGAGTGGGAACTACCCCCCCCCCAGTGGACTGTACCTCCAAAAAAATCATACCCATATAAAAAAAAAGTCTTATGGTCTGTACTCAATAAAATACCGACAGTACCAATAGAATATTGTACAGTAGTATGATGTATGCATTTTTATTTTAATTATAAATGTACTTTTTTTTTTTAATACGCCTATGATTATAATTTTTGGTCTGAAAATTATTCCAATCATTGCGAATATTTGAACATGATTAATAAAAAAATGTTTGAAAAAAAAAATAAAAAAATTAGTATAACAATTTAATAAAAATATATGCCTTTTCGGCCATCGAAGTCTGAATACTCCTATGTGAAGAACTTAGAAACGAGTTCGTCAAATTTGTTTATGGAAACTTCGTTTGGCGTGAATATTAAGCAAGACTCAAAGATATTGGTTAAAGAATCCGGTTTCTCAAAAATCAAAAACTACCTAAGCTACCTTCAAATGAGAGGTTGGGTTATCATTAGAGCTTGGATGATAATGAACAGAATTTCATAAAAATATGCATTAAAAAAATGTCAAAATATGCAATTATATGCCATAAAATGTATTAAACCTGTATATATGTATATACCTATTTTTCAACAAATATATGAAAAAAAAAAATAGTTAATATTAATTCAAAAAATGAATACAATCTTTTAAATGTGTATTTGAAATTACTTTATTATATTATATATATTATACATTTTATTTTTTCAATCGATTACCGTTTGTTAATACTGACTTAAAAAAATTGTTATTAATCGATATAAAATAATATTTTGCATGTTTGTAACTATTGGTAATTTAGTTTGTTAGTTGTTTATATTTATAGAAGAACATTTAGTTGATTTATATGACGTATCAAATCACTTTCTGAAACATAATACTGGTTAAACATTGATATCGAATTCGAATGAATTAAATTGTTTTATTCATTCGTATTTTGATTTTAGAGTTTTTAGATTTTGTTTCAGGAAAGTAATTTAGTACCTGTTCAGAACAATAATTACAATAATGAAGAATGCGTCAATAGTGTCTTACCAACCTAGTTCTGGAGATTCTAAGAATAATGGCAACAGCTACGATCTTGTATTTCCAGCTTTGCCAGTTTTGAAGACCTCCAACACAATTGGGACTGTACCATTTAAAAAACGGAGTAATGTAAAATCTTCAACGGTGAACGAAGTAATTTATCACGCCATTTTAATAGTAACTAATAAGTATTAGAACGATCAGTTTGATATTGACTTGTAACACGGTCGCATGTCAGTGCAATTATAATTTGCCTGTTCCGTTACCGCAATTTTAGTTAAGTTATTTTATTAGGTTATTTAAGTTAATTTAACTAGTTCAGTTCACGGTATTATATTTATGCGACTTCACTTTCAAGATGGATAACATACTCTCTCCGCTTACTACCAAATCCAAACAGTCGCTGCTATCATAGCCTAATTCTCAAATTCATATGGGGAAAAACACTAAACCATTAGTTTCGCCTAATCGTTTCGCTGTCTTTTCGATCGAAGTGGACAAAGAAATCAAACTCGACACCTCTTATGACGTTCATAATATAACCAAAGAATCTATTGTTTACCACCAATATAAAAACATCAGGTCACTATATATATCAGATGCCCAATTGGAATTAGATTCCCGCAAAAAATTACGAATGTCATTCAAAATGGCCATACGCTTCCGCTGTTTTTTGTTGCAATTAATCTAAATACAAATGATAAAAAAATTTTTAATGAATCATCAATGTTGCACACTAAAATTTAAGTTGAATTACCCAATAAGATTTATAGTGATTCACCTCGGTGTCTACAATGACATAGCTACGGTCACTCTATGCTAACTATTACTATCACCATACCGGAAATGATGGTGATCCTTCATTCTTCACGCTGTGTTAAACGCAGGGAAAATCACTCCTGAAACAGTTACATCAAAGAGAAAGGCAGTTTAACCAAGTGCGGCTTTTGCGCGGGTGATCATACTTCCAACTATAAAGGTTGTTCTAAACATAAATTAATTCTTAAACGTCGCAAAACAACCCACTTGTAATCATCAAAATAAAAATATTGTACTCACGTCTCCTTTTATCAAACCTCTATCCAAAGCGTTCTTGCACCTCCATCACTGGTTCTAATAATATCCTAACCTAATAGTCCTATGGACGATTTACCGTTTTCCAATTTATCTCAGGTTTTCTAGCATTAATAAATCTAATATTTTCCCTTCTTTTATAATTACAGCTCTTCTACGTAATCACCTTACTCCTAAGCCCAAATTCTTTTATACTTTATTCATTTAAATGATCACGCCTTTAACCAGTTGATATGTTATCCGTTACTTTTAAATTTTAATTGGTCAATCAAAATTAACTTTTATTTTATAATTATCTCAAATTATTATATTTTACTAATATTATTTTATGATAATGATTGTTGTATATTGATGTTAAAATGCATACTTAGTTATCTTACACGATTTAATTGTTGAGCCATAATAATTTTGTGTCAAAAGTTAAATAAAAAATAACATAAAAATTATAGAATGATTTACATATTAAAGAAAATCATTATTATGATTTTAAATAACATTTTTCTGTATGAATAGTAATAGTTTAGAAAATTTTTGTTGATTTATATCTAAAATATAAATAAAACAATATCTTAATTTTTATTTTGTAAAATTTGTAGATAATTACTATACATGCCCAAGACCAAAATTGGGACAGGAATAGTCAATTAGAGTATGAAAAATCTAAGGAAGTATATATAAAAATTGGGAAAGAGTATAATGTAGGAATAGAGATTTGTATTTCAAAAACCATTGGTCTGACTTTACTAATTAGCGGCAATAGAGTTAATGTTGAACGAGCAAAACAAAAGATTATCACAATCGACCAAACTCAAGTAAATAAGTTTTAATCAGGTTGAAATTAATAAGATAAACTGATAAAAATAATATTTATATATAAATTATATTGTTGTGTACAAATTATGAATAATTTATTATTATTATTAATTTTTAATATTATAATACATAAATGTGCATAATAATTTAAAATGTTTGATGAATCATTTGTTATTTTATAGTTTTATTACGGATAAATAAATAAAAAAATATTTTTTTTTTAGCAATTTTAACTAAAACATTAAAATTTCAGATTAAAACTACTACTACACCGTTTCCAAAAGAATATCGAAGTACGTTATTGGGCAAACAAGGACTTAATCTTAAAAATATTGAAAAACGTACAGGAGCACGTGTTCAAATACGATGTAAGAAAAATTCGGCTGACATAATTTATATAACTGGAACAAAGGATTCTACGAAAAAAGTAGTTCAAGTATGAATCAAAAATATGTTTTAATGAATCGAAATTTAAGTTTAACAAATTAAAGTAAATTAATTTTCGAAAAGAATGGCTAGAATGAATAGGTTGGAGAAAAATTGACATAATACATAATGCCTATTTTTAAAGTGGTTAATTGTGACCGTACTAGTTTATATATTTTATTAATTAAATTAAAAATAAATCTTTTAATAAATATTTGAAAATTTCACGATTTCTAAATTAAAATGTTGATAATTTTTATTATACTTTTACAGTAAAAAATAAATTAATGAGGATTTCAATACTGAATTTTGATATAACTCTATACAAATTCAATGAACTTTTAATTTTAATATTATAGGTTTAAAAGTTTTTAAAAGATTTCTGATGTTTTTTTTTAGAAAAAAAATTACAAGTATTATGTATTAACGAAATCGGGTATTTTAACAAATTTTCATCAAATAGTTTCTTTCGTAATTTTGTAATAATTAAAATTTTCGTTAGGAATTGGAGGAAATTATGTTGAAGTTGAAAAGTAAAATTGAAAAGGAAATAACAATTGATCAACGTCATCACGGAGCGATAATTGGAGTTAAGGGTGAAAAAGTTCGAGAACTTCAGAAAATATTTAATGTTCAAATTATATTCCCCAGTCCAGGTAATTAATAGTATTAATAGTATTAATATGTTTGTTTTTTTTGTATTTTGAATGTTAATAAATAATATTTGGTTCGATATTTTAGTCGAGGCTAGAAATAATTTAGTTAAAATACGAGGTTTGAACGATGATGTAAATAAAGCATTTAAATCATTAGCTGAATTGGCCGAAGTATTGGATGAAATCAACTATGTGTTGGAAATTCCTATTTTTAAACAATTTCACAAACTTAGTGCTGGAAAGAGAGCAGTATTTATTAAAAAGGTAATTATTATTTATTAACTTTTGTGATTCGACCTTTAGAAATATTGTTATTTATATAATTTAATATTCTAGATTAGAGAAGAGACTGATACGAGAATTTTTTTACCACGTGAAGGAGACAATAGTGATGTTATTAAAGTCATTGGAAATAAAAGAAAAGTTTTAATCGCTTATGATATGATAAAAGAAATACAAAATGAAATAGTTGGTTTTTATAAAGATTATTCATTTTTCAATTTTATTATTAATTTATCAATCTTGTATTTTTAGGGAGACATAATAACAAAGGAAATGGTGTTGGGAAATGTTAAAGTTAGAAATGTCATTGTAAATCTTGGGAATAAATTCATTCAATCTATAAAAGAAGATTGTGGTGGTAATGTGACATTGAATTTACCATCTGTTAAAGGAGATAATGTAAGAATATACTTATTTATTAAACTTATAAATTAAAATGACAATTTAACTAATTGTATAAGTTATTAAACGCGTGATATACGCTCAGACATCGATTCGAACCTGGCCTCTGGCAGTTTCTCTCTTTGAGCTGGAAACGATTGTGTAATCTATTAAAAAAATAGTAAACAGTTATTTTAAAGTTAAACTTTTATTCATAGACTATAGTTATCAAAGGACCTGAAGATGATGTTAAAAATGTTATTACACAAATTCAGACAATGGTTGATGAAGTTCATAAATATGTGTTCGATTTGAAAGTAAATCCGAAGTTTTACAAATATTTAATTGGAAAAAATGGAGTCAATGTTAAAAAGGTATGTTGTTAAAATAATTTAATATAAGGGTACAATGTGTTCATTTATGGTTTTATACTTGGATTCCAGATCAGATATTTAACGAACACAAGAATAATTTTCCCGCCTGAAACTGATTCCACTAATGAAATTGTAACTATTGTTGGTAAAAAAGAGAATGTTAATAAAGCAAAAGCAAAATTTGAAGTTATGATAACCGATATTGGTAATGCCATCAAAGAACACGTAGAAATCAATGAAAAATATCATCGTAGCAGTGGTACAGTAGGTGCGACGCACCGAGGCCTTCGTGATTTGGGGCCCTCAATTCAAAAGAAAACTGATATGAACAAAAATAGAAGCTTGCGTTAACTTAAACCAATTATTTGTTTTGATTTTTGGTAGAAATAAATAATGAAAACCTTTTTTTTTTCAAAATCTCATCAACGTCTTTTATTGTTAGATTAGTCAAAATAATTAAACTTATAAATTGAAAAGTAATTATAATTAAATAAAATGTATTAAATACGAAAAACTTAATATAAAAATTACTATATTAACAAACTTATTGTTAATTATGTTTATTTGGTATTTTGGGTTTGGTCCCCTTCATTTTAAAATCCTGGCTACGCTTCTAAAAAATAATATTCTTTATTACATAAAGTGAACTAAACTATAGTCATAAATATTTTTATCCCATGTTAATTTATGTAAAAAAATAGAGAATTATTAAAGAGTTCTAATAGTATTTTTTAATGATTTTAATACATTGGGAATTTGTTAATCAAACTGACATGCTACTTTACTTCTATAATATCTGGTTTATTTGTAAAAATAATAATCTCAGCCAAGAATGATTGTAATAATTTCAATATTCTACAAAATATGACGTGTTTCAATAATTCATTTTACGAAATCATAGATTATGTTTATTAATAGGTAGTAATCTTTAAAAATATATATAAATATAACTACATCATGTTGCTAAAGCAAAAACTTCAAATATTGTTAATAAATGACATCAATTAACCAATTTAGTTGTATTTTATAATTTGTGATAGGTACTGTATGTTTTAATTTTAAACTAATATGTTAAAAATGTTTATGTCGTGAAAAATACAGTATATGTTTTTTTTTCCTCTTAATTATATTTAACTTTTATGTCTTCTCATTTATTTAAATTTTACTTATTGAAGAAATAGTAAGAATAGTAACCAGCAAGTATTTAATATTTTTTTGCCGACCGAAAACGTGATGGATGTATGATATGAGCACTTCCACCAGATTTCATCATTCTCGATGATAAATTCGGTGAGTAGTTTATCAAGTTAGTATAGAAGTTTGTGTATTAAAGTTATGTAAAAATATTATTTTACCCGTTCATCGTCAAGCAACATACGATAACGGGTCGTCGTGTATTTTTTGAAAATAAAAACGCGACGACGGATAGCGACAGGATTCTCGGTAGGAAACGAGCAAGAACAATCAGAAATATCTCAGTTTTTTGAAAATGTGCAAAATATCTACAATCGTTTTGTGGATTGAGTCTTGTACGATAGGAAAAGTTGAATGTTTTCTCAGAATCTATGGCAGATATCACTTTGAAAACATTCAGTCCTACCTGGACAGGTAGATACAGATAAATATGGTTTATACCCTTAAAGAAAGATTTAGTGATATACTTAAAGCTTTGTCATACATAACTTTGATTAGTAAAAAAAATAGGTAGTGATGTCATACGCGATCTACCAAACTTGTTTTCAAGTAGGTTAGGCAATTCAAATTACAAAAATTAAAAATGTGGCTCGATCGTTCCTTTGTACATATTATGGAGAATCCGTAATTTTTTCCAAAATGAAAATCCTGATAATTGTCGACACGTAGCGTTGAATTTAGAAACAGTAGTTTTTGTTAAAAAAAGACGTGGTGAGGCCCCTTAACACATTTATTTTTAATTTCATTGCACGGAAATAAAGTTTGAAAAGCTGCTCCACTACTGCAAGTCGCTAAAATAAATTGTATTTTATAGATTATAATTTCAAATCTTTATTATCTTAGCTAATCTTATCGTTCATGGATAAAACATTTTTGTCCATCTAAGAATTATACGCACAATATTCTAAATTAGATTATGTAGGTATAAATACATAAATTGTAAATCGGTTATGACTTAATCACGAAATACATTCAATCATTCCAAAACGAAAATCAAATAAAATCCGTTCGTTTGAGTGTACGGCATTGTACGGAATGAACGAGATCATAATCTCGATCAATGGAATGACCAATGAACGATGGAATGATATTTTATCCGGTTTTATGCAGAAGTAATTATGTTTTAGTTTGTTCATCGTTCAATGAACGAAATTATCGATATGAACGAATCATATGAACAAGAAGCCTTTTGAATGACGTGATCCAAACGAACCGAATCGTTCAAATATCTAAAAATTACACAATGATTTTATGGATGACACGATGCAGTGTGAAATTATTAAAGTTTACCGATAATTATCTACAAACCTTGGATGTGAAGGCGCCTTAATATCACACAAAAGTAGCATAGTCACCTGGTTTTCAGATTTCGGTGCAATAACCAGATTCCGCGGGAGATACCCGGTTATTGTACCGAAACAATCAGTAACACTGTACATGGCACGTTGTGTGATGATATTATTTAAATGTTATGGTATATAATTCTGTTATGTTAACATATTATTTTTTTAATAAATAATTGATTAAGTTTATTTTCTTATTTCTGTTATAATAAATGTATAGTTTTAATTAATCAGTTAAATTTTTATTTATTTATATAGTATTTATAATATTGTTTTGTCATTGCAAAACTACGGAACTGTTTTATTTGATGTTCTCGAAGATAATGATAACATTAACATAACATTATAATAATAACATTATTTATAATTTATTATATTATTTTGTCATAGTATTTAAAAGATATTTTATTTAAAAATAAAATATAATAATAAACAACTGTAATCTAATAATTCATATTTTGTTTTATTTATTCAATTTTTATAAAATTGGAGTAATATTTGTACTATCAATCTATATTATACTATGTTTTAAAACATAACTTTAATTCATAGCTATAATTCTTAGCAGGTTTGTGTTATTTATGAATACATTATCATCTTATATTTTTATACTAATAAACTATGGAAAAACAAAATATGTTTGTTTAGATGCAATAATTAACTATCTTCAGTTTTTTTCTTTTTGTAGAAAAAATGGAGAAACCTGATTTTTGCTCTGGACCCTTCAATTATCAAGAGAAAAAAATTTATTTTTTATTTTTCGTTCAAAAGGAACTAGTCAAGGCGTATAATATATATATATTATTATATTATAATATTATACATGACTGATTGTATTTTTGCGTCGTTCTGGTAAAAAAAAAAACATATTCAATATATTAAGTTAAAAAAATTATTTGGCATATATATGTTATAGAATTTATCAAATCCCATAAAATAATGATAAAATTGAAAAAAAGCGGCTTGAAACCGATTTGGTTCGTAAGTATAAAATTATACGTACCAATAGTGCACGAGGAGTTCGTATATACTTATGTAATGTAGATATTTTATAGACATATGATTAAGTTTTAATGGAATATACGATGACGGTGGCGATGACGTGCGATTGTAAAGTCGAGTGCATAATATTAATTCAAGTGGTTCGACTTTCTATCCTCGCGGAAAGTTAAGTCTTTGACAAATTTACCAAAGTATTATTATTATTATTATTATTATTATCATTATACCTGTCACCGCATGTGCTTCACAATACGTTCTTGATTGGTGGTTTTAATATATAACTACACAACCTCTACCGCACTGTCACATACAAAAGCTCATATTATATTGTTTCTGGAATGTCTGCAGCGCATATAACATGCATATATATGTTTAGTCTTGAATGAAAACGCACTGCTCCCTGTACATACTTGTATAGTATATATATGGTCGCCGGAACCGGACGAAGTAGTTTCGTATGTTATATACTTACGTATAATTGTATTCCTTTATGATTATATGCGTAATTCGGTTGAGAATTAATTGTCCGATAACTCACGATTTTAATACACTGCGTTATTACATCTGACGTAAAATAATGTTTTTTACATAACATACGTTTGAAATACCGTGCGTGCAACATTCCTAGATTTAGTGGCGTATTTTCAATGGGAGTTCCCGGGTCTCACCCCCTCAGGAGGATAAAACGGCGTTTAAGTCATAAATGATTTGATACGAAGGTACAAAGAAAGTTAACATTAATTTATATCATATGGTTGTATAAAACAGTTAATTTATATTTATAATCAAAAAATTATTAATTCATAACTTATATGTACTGGTATTTTTAAAAATAATGTAAAATGACTTACTTTTTAGTAAAATTTGAAAATTTTCCATTGCCTAGATACTATTCGTCATAACAATGACTCAAAAAAAAATTCTCAATGACAAGAATTTGACCAGTTTTCTAATTTTTGAGTATCTTGTATAATATTTTATCGATCATAAGTCATTATTAAATGTATTCCTATTAAAAAATAAATCTTTTCGAAATGACTTATTCGGCTATACTAATGGCTCTTTTCTAACAGTTTATTGGATCGTTTACAATGTTTATCAAAATAATTGTGTGGTTGCAAAAACTATACAAAGTTTTTTATTTAAAAAAAAAAATTAAGATTATTATGAATAGGTTACAGTAATACATTTCTTTTTTGTGATTTTTTACATTTTCACATTATAAGTGTTTATGTACTTCACATTTTTTTCTTAATCTTAATATTTTTAAGGGAGAAGTGTAGTCGTGTTTGTATAAAAAACAATTATTTTCATCCCTCTTTTATTTATGGGGTTTCCTTAAGCGAAAAATATAACCGTCACTGGGTTATAGTCCGTTAAAAACTATCAGGTTTTCATTTATTTGTTAAACAATTATTTTACTCCAGTTAGATTTATGAGAATTTAATTTTCAATCTTGTACTCAAGTTACCAAACTAAACAATCAAATTATAAATGTTATGAAGTCATAATAACGTTTTTTAATAAAAATGAATTGTAATACTTATATTTATAAGCAGTAATATTTTATTGATTTTTTTATCACTCTAAACATATTTCTAGGAAATCACTTTCAAATTACTTTCTTGTAAATGCAACAACTGTACGCGTTTTGGTCAGCAATTTCACAAATCGATCAAACTGTATAAAATATAATACAATTCATTTATAAAAAAAAAAACAATAAATATTTGAACCCTATAGGGTTATGATCATAACTATATCGTAATATAAAGTATAATATATATAATAAATATACAAAAATATAATAAT